GGCATTAAATATAATATTGTTTGTTTGTTTCGAAATTCGCGCAAAGCTACACGAGGGCTATCTGCGCTAGCCGTCCCTAATTTAGCAGTGTAAGACTAGAGGGAAGGCAGCTAGTCATCACCACCTACCGCCAACTCTTGGGCTACTCTTTTACCAACGAATAGTGGGATTGGCCGTCACTTTATAACGCCCCCACGGCTGAAAGGGCGAGCATGTTTGGTGGGACAGAGATTCGACCCCGCGACCCTCAGATTGCGAGTCGAGTGCCCTAACCACCTAGCCATGCCGGGCCATTAAATATAATATTAACTGTAGACTAATTCACGGAGAACTGAGCAGTAGGTTTAAGATGAAATTATGTTGATGCATGGAATGCATCATCTGTCTCTGTCAAACATAAATAAACGAATTCCAAGCTATGAAAGAGAGAAATTTTAATTACTTTCAACCAAACAACCTGATTTAAGTTTAAACGTGAAGCATTTTTACATTGAAGACCAGAAATTTATCTATACATAATACATTAAATCAACCTATATCAATAATTTAGTTTATTTTATTTAAACTGTTATGTATTGCAAATTTGAAATAGTCCGAAGCCGATATTTTAGTTAATTTACGCTATTTGCCAACAAGATTGACACACACCATCTTCGTTTGTATATATATATACAACAGTACAATTTACAACAACAATTATTACGAATAGTTACCACAAGCAAAGTTTTATAAAACAAATATTTCACTAACTTACAAACAACATAAAATCTTCTTTATAGTTCAGAGTCTCCTTGATATCCAGCGAGTTAACTTGAAGTCGATGTACGTACAATTGCCGAGAAGCTAGCTAGCTTTGTCAGACACTGAATTGTTGGACCGTTGAAGTAAAATAATATTTTCATAAAACCACTAATGTCCGATGAGAATTCAGTAATACTTTCGGAAAGATACTAACGTCCGATGAGAATCCACTGATGTTCGAAATTTATAACTGTTCCTGGTCAAGTGTCGTAAATTTTACGGTTGATAAGGGTTAGCAAAATCACGATTTATAGCGTACACGGTTATAGCAGATTCCTAGCCACTTTTTTAGGCTCTCTCTTTTTTTGCGCATCGCCTTGGCTGTTTTTATAGGCGCGAGAAAGATTTTCTCGAAAATTCCGACAACAATACTGAGCTATATTTAACAGGTTACGGAAGTGAATATATTGTCGATTCTTACGTTCACGAATATTCTACAACCTTGGAGAGTTGGCGGGAGTTTCGCAGTACGTAACTAACACTGTAAGCTAGGTACTTTTTAAATATAAACTCAATCCAAACAAACATTGTCATTAAAATAAATATATAACCAATTCGTCACACGCAATACACATTCAACACTATATGTTACACATATTTTTTAAATACAAACTCAATCTAAACAACTTTCATATTAAATATAAATAATGACAACAAACTCGTTACAAAACTAATTTGTTTGAGCATTCATCCTACGAGTTTTCTTTTGCTGTTTTTTCACGCTTTTCTTCCATCGCAAATTCACCTTTTAGGCTATTTGTCACCATCTAGGAATTAGGTATACCAAAACCTTACAGAAACCTTAATAATCGATATAAGAAAAATAATGCTCAGATTTAAATTAGAGCAAAGAGATTTATGTCTGTTTTTGCTGTTTTTAAAAAGATGAAATGTATTCAGCAAGCAGAAGAAATGTATCGATTTGTTTAGGAAGCATTGTATTAATCTAGGAAGTAGGAAACTGTATGCAGGATATTTAGGTAAAAGAAAACTACAAGTGTTTTATAATTTGTGGATACAAATATAAAATATAATATATAGCGGAAGTAATTGTCCTCAAATTTAGGATGTGAGTGTTATTTTTATTAACAGCGTCTGATGTCATCCATTTGTATCTAAGCAATATTTTACAATCTGTACGAGACCTACAAACACAGCTCATTTCAGCGTATATGTAGTAATCAAAAGTGCCTATAAAGTTCATTTTATTCACAATAAATAAATACTGTGTTGTTTCGTCTTATTTTGACTGGCTACTTTATTAAGGACCACACATAATACAATATATGGAACACAAAGGATCAATTGATCCTTCAAGGTTATCTTTGCTTACTCATCCTTGATAAAAGTCAATATTTAAACCCTTCCTCTGTTTTTCTAGAAATAATCAATTCCATTCTTGGGTTCCTGCAAAATGCTAACCTCCACTACTGTAACATATTTTTAAATAACCCTCCAAAACAGATTAATCATATGTTGTGTTAAATTGTTGCTCAGGCCTTATAACTGCAGGTAAGAACCAAGATTGGGTGGGATTGGAGGGATCCTGAGAAAAGAGAACAGTCAATGTATATTCAACCTAAATTATTAATGTTTATTATCATTTGTTAGCCACTGTCAACTACAGTGCTTAGAATTACCAGAAATACCGTTCTTACTATGTCGATTTGTAATAGACTAATATGATTGAAGTACGTGTTTGTCTAAGCAACTCAAAACAGACGAAAACAACGTGGTAGGTTGAGGGAGAGTACAAAAATTAAAAGTAGTATAAATATTTTGATATGTTCTATAGGTCTACCAAATTTTTTCAAGATTAAACAAAAAACGACTTCACACGTTATCAACTTTTAAATTCACCCCTTGAGAGATACAAATAAAATATGGTACAACTGTTACTTTAATTGTGGCCGAAAGTTTGGTTTGGTTTGTTACGAATTTCGCGTAAAGCTACACGAGGGCTATCTGCGCTAGCCGTCCTTAATTTAGCAGTGTAAGACAGCTAGTCATCACCACCCACTGCCAACTATTGAGCTACTCGTTCACCAACGAATAGTGAGATTGACCTTAACATTATAACGCTCTCACGGCTGAAAGGACGAGCATGTTTAGTGTGACGGGGATTCAAACCTGCGACCCGCAGATTACGAGACGAGCACCCTAACCACCTGGCCATGAAACTATTATTGAAAATTGTTCTACAAAAGTATACCAAACTTGGGTGATGAGCATATAACATTTTGTTACAAAATGAAAGAAAAAAAAACGACACGAGAAAAATGACATTATTAAATGTTGCATAAAACTCCTTTTGGAGGGGAGAGTAGTTTTATTATTACTACTTGTCGAGGAAACATTTAACTGATAAGAAACTAAACGAATTAGAAACACAGTAATTCAATAAACCAAATTCAGCTAAAACTCCCCTTTTTAACGATACAAGCTTCTTACAATATAAGAAAAGCAAATTAGAAAATTTAACTTACTTTAGCCAGTCGCCTTCTTGGAGGTCTAAAACAATTGGCGGATCTTCAATAGTGCCATCATTCTCATTGGTTCTTGTACAGTCGGCGCCAACTCTACAAACAACCTGGTGATGAAAAGAATTGAGTGTGAATCAGAAAGTTGTGTGATACACTGCAGTGAAAATAATATAGTAAATTCTAATTTGTAGTGTATATTTGCCTAGTTATCTTAGCTTTAACTAAACTGTTCATATAATTATGTAATAATTAAGCAAGTCAAATGTGAAATTCACTAAATAATTTTTCTTATCATCCCCCCTTTTTAAAGTGATCTGTGACGAGTAGTTTATTTTTATTACATAATGAATAATTACTTTCCCACATTTGGCTACAGACTGTGAATGATCGTTTTACGTGTGAACTACTGTGAATCAGATCATTTATATCTCCTCTGATTCTCGTGCCTCTTCAGATACCACTCCTACTACGATTCATTCTAGCAATCAAAGTCTGTAATTTGTAGCCTATCTTTATTTGCGTGTTCTGTACGTGCAATGGTATTTACTTATTGTAGTTATTTGAAATAATATATATATTATCAATATAGGTTATATATAAGAAGCCATTATCTAAATTCGAAAGATGATTAACGATTTAGGAAGAAGCTGTTATCTTAGCAAATCAAATCACGTAATAGGAAAAAAAACACATTAAAACTATAGCCAATAAGCAATATTTTACCACCATAACAAAACGCTACATGAAATACACGTCTATTGGAATATCCAAGACACCATTTTCAGTGCCCCCCAGTGGTACAGCGGTATGTCTACGGACTTACAACGCTAGAAACCGGGTTTCGATACCCGTGGTGGGCAGAGCACAGATAGCCCTTGTGTAGCTTTGTGCATAATTAAAAACAAACAAAACCATTTTCAGTAATACGTGAAAGAGACAACATTTTTAGAGCTCAAAATAAATATAACTGCAACATAGAGTTGTGTGTGTGTGTGTTAGAAACAAGAATAACACGTAAATACTTACAGACAATAGTAGAATAAGGATAAAAATTCTAAACTTTTCGGTTTCGAACTATGTTTTGATACAATATTTTCTTAACAGGTGAGCGGAAAAGGCAGTTCAATGTAAAGATTACCTGAACTTTTCAAGATAAATTTTCGCGTTACATGTGAAAAACACCTGATTTGGTCACTTTTATACGAAAGTAGGTGTAATATAGGGAGTATAAAAAATGATAAAATTGTTTTTACATAAATTAAAACAGTACAAATGCAGGTATAATTTACAAAAGAATCTCAAAAATATAAAAAGATAGAGTGTATCGCAAGGAGAAGAAAACTCTGAATATTGCAACGGAAAGTTGTTTATATCATCACGAAATAAAGCCAATCAAAGCCCTACTTACCCAGCACAAGCATTATGTCTAATACATTTGACCCAATCAAAGCCCTACTTACTCAGCACAAGCATTATATCTTATTCATTTGAGCCAATCAGAGCCCTACTTACCCAGCAGAAACATTATGTCTAGTACATTTGTTAGTTGCAAGTTATTTTTAAGAGGTCAGCTCATCTGTTGCATCATAACCACACGACCACGTGTGAAGCTACCGACACTGAAAGAACTTCCATTAAATGACAAAGAATCTTGTTTTTTTTCGATTAATTAATTCGTTTCTAATTTGATAGAAAAACAACAACAATAAAAATCAAAAGCACGCATGAAAAGTAATGTTACTAATAGTTTTGGCATTAAATGATAAAACTACGAATAAACCTTTCAGGAACATTTTTAAAAAATGTGAACTTTCACAAACACAACAAAATATTGGACCACTAGAAGTTTGTTCACAGTAATTTCCACAAAAAAATATTTTAATATATTTTTAGAAGTGCAGTAGAATACTGAATAATAAAATAACGAGCATTTATTTCTCGAATGATTATTTAATCTTTAATATTTTTGCGCGAAGCTGTAAGACTTGCACGTTTTCATACAAGCGTTACTCTGAACGATCTAATCTATTAACTTTAGTAAATAAATCACTTCCTCAGCCATCTGAGATCAACATCTTTAAACCGCCAGAGGGCAGTTTGTTCATTGTACCCAAGGTAATTCTGGGAGAGTGACTTGATGTAATTTATTTCGATCGCTTGTTTTTAGAACTCAGACTAGCACATGCCCTGATCCATCATTTACAGAACAAATCCTTAATCTGTAGAGGAGAGGAACTCGCGTGGACAGTTCACAACGCCCAAGCTTGGGCGTGGTGCAGAAATCTCTGACTACTTGAATGATAACGAGATAGTGGAGAAGATGCGAAATGAACACTGCCAAAAAAATTCTAAGTGCTGCTGATGCAAGGGTATATCTTTAAATACTTTATATAATCTGGTATTGATAACATATTGGCCAAACGTCTGCGATAGAACTGAAACACATTTTTAGACATGCTTGTAGTTTTTTTGTTTCATTTTTTTCTGTAGTTTTGAGAATAAAAATCTGATGACCTATAGGAAACTTTTAGCTAACAAATACCTATATCTCAGGATATTTCTATAAATAGAGAACTTTCAAATGTTCTGGTCAAGGGACCGATTCGAGCAAATAACCGTTATCAAGACTTTTCTTCACTGTGAATATTTTAGACAAACCAACATATCCAAAACTTTTTTTCACATACACTGTGAATATTTGAGATAAATGAACATGCTAAGACTCTTCTTTCACACTCACTATAAATATTTTAGACAAACGAACATATTAAAACTTTCTTTCACACACACTGTGAACATTTAAGACAAACGAACATATTAAGACTTGTCTTTTACTTAGTCAAAGTAAGTTATGTCGAACAACCTTTGCCAGTAGTTACTTCTTTGTCTAATTTGAAATATGTACTGAACTAAAAAAATTATGAAAAACACACACACACACTAAAATCTGCAGTCTAACTTGGTGTCTCATTAAATGTCTTAGGCCTAAATTATAGCATTCGCTAGCTTAAACGTTAATATTTTAATTCTGCACATGAATAGCATTTCAAATAAACATTTAACTGTTGCGGGTTGAGCCTAGCTGACGAGTCTTAATGTAATATTTAAAGAAATAATTAGTCGTTGCAGACAAATATATATGTTTATTTGTTTTTACTGAGTTCCATTCGTATGTGTGTATACATGTATACTTTATTATACATAAAAATATATACTCATGTAGGACGAAATATTTTCATATATTTCTACAGAATTATTTTTTATAGACTCTCATTAGGTATTCCTATATCTTACACTCTAGACGTAACAACAATGTTTGTCATAGTGGTTTTATTTTGAAGGTTCTCACCTACTTTATTGTAACCTTGACCTGACGATTACTCGGTACTATTGGTCGAAATGTTGTAATTATTAAGATCAGAACTTCCTAGTGTAAACATTACTGTTATTGTATTTTTGTATGAAATGATAACTTTATGTTTCTTAGCATATGTAGAAATTATGCTGAAAGTAAAACTTAAATATAAATTTTCGGTGAAATGTTATTTTCAGTAAGAAAAACTGAATATTTCATTTCCAAAAGACATAGACGGGAAAACATTATAATTAATGATATAAGAAGGGCATTTTCACCTTCTGGAATTAGAAAGGAAAGAGAAGTTGGAAAAGAAATACAATTTTTACAGCGCGAGCCATACAGGATGTGTGTGATTTTTATTACGATGCCGGAACAAGGCTATTCTAGCCTGCCAATCACTTGTAATAGTGAAACCCACGAAGACTGTGGTATGGTTGAGTATTGAGTTTTGCTGAACTGAACTCACATTATCTGCTCAGTAGTTTCTCCGATATTGCTTTTCATTATCTTGTAGGTCAGTGAATTCAATGATCATTTAGTGTGATAGATGGATGGATGGACGGATGGATAGATAGAATCTAGCAATATTGTTTTGAGAAATCCATAGCATTATAATATATATTTGAATTTAACGAAACGTCTACTGTCTCTTATCTTTCAACAGCTTTATTTTTAAAATCTTAATCGAATTCCTGAGTACTTTTGTACTTTGCTTTTGAGTATGTGTTTAGACCAAATAAATCGTGCTATTTTTCATTGGCCATGGATTTCAAAACACGTAATATTTGAATAGATTCTTTGTTTGTCTATGGCAAAACTAAAAGAAACACGTTGCACTTCTGCGATTTTATATTACAGAATATAGGGTAGTTCAGTACTATGTTATCATATATTTGCCATTCAAACAAAAGCAATTTGTTTTTCATTATCGTACTGGAGATGAATTAATTGTATATTTAAAACACAAACGAAGAGTTCATTGTAATATTGTTATAATAACATTTACTGTGTAAAGAAATATGGAATAAACTTTACTATATCATATTCGTTTCCAAGAGAAAAAACAACAACAGACAATAGTACGGTAACACTACAAGATAAAAGCATTGTAACACTACAAGATAAGAGCATGGTAATACTACAAAACGATTTCAGATTGTTCATCATTTTTCCCTCTTAACTGCCCCCTCCCCCAATGACACAGTGGTATGTATGCGGAACTAAACAGAGCACAGATAGCCCATTGTGTAGTTTTGTGCTTAACTACAAACAAACAAAATCTGTACTAGTAATAAAAATATCCAAAAGTTAGATATCAGCCGTTTCACGTGCTACAGCACGATTATTACTTTAACAGGCCTCTCACGAGCCAGTGGGGGACATTTTTGTTGAAAAAAGAACAACTACCCAATCCGGTTTTTCTTAATTTGAACTGAACTTTTTTGGACATAATTTGGCTCAAAAGAACACATTTTCCTCACGTTTTTAGCATAGGAGCTGCAAAAAAGAGATTTGAAGTGGTAAGGTGACTGAAATTTGTCAACGCATCACGAACTTAACAGCCAAGCACAAAAAGCATGAAAGTCTCCAAATGACACGCAGAGGTATTCAGGAACTGTTTAGAATCACCTTGGTAGATATTGTGCACCAAGCCGAGTACAATATTATGCCTGGAGCTGCTTTCAAAGTGTTCCTGTCTACTCATCATACTGCTGACTATCGTGATGCTTCGACCTTCCCTACCGAATC